GGGGGGGGGGGGGGGGTAGTGGACGTCCATTCCCCCAGCTCTGAGCAGGTCTCCGCTGTTGACGTCACTTGCTCTTAGTGTCCCTGTCCTACTGTAAAAGGCAGTTAGCCATTGGGTTCCCTTTGCAGTGGGGAAAAGGCCACAAGGGCTGTCAGCTTTTCCTGCTCACTGGTTCCACGCCATCTTATGGGTCGGGAGAGTTGTGTTCTCAGAATAGCAAACCCATTCAGAGTCCAAGCAGCTGTCAGGTCCTGGCTGCCTCCCCCCAACCCAACCCCCCTGACCCTGTGTGCCTGCCATGTTCCCAGATCTGTGTTCCCAGTTGCATCGAGGGCACCCCAGGGGGCAGGCACAGGTGGCTGTCAGCCGTGCCAGGCAGACACCACGTGGCCAGTGTTACAGATTCCCATTTTACAGATAAGGAAACTGAGGCACAGAGTGGGGGTTACTTGACCAGCTTCCCACAGCTCTTTGCTATGAAGCAGCCTGGCTCTAGTGCCCCCTTGGATCCCCCATGCCGGGAGCTTGTCAAGGCAGCTTCGACCTTCATATTTTGAACTCTGTGCTTCCTGTTTATTGCTGACTCTCAGCGCAGCCCCCATGGGGTACATTGAGTTCCCCCTGTGGTCAGTTGCCTGCCTGAGGTCCCACAGCCAGGTAGTGGCCGAGCCGGGCTGGCACTGGGCATCTGCCCTCTTGAGTCCTCCCCATCTGGGCATTACGTGGATCCATATGTTCCCTGGACAGGTTATAGCCTGGAAAACTGTACCTCATAGAGATCTGCTCCCAGGTAACTGAACTGTGGTGGGCAGAGGCCTGGACCTGCCAAGAGAGCCTCTGTGGCCCGTCCTGTGCAGGTGTGCAGGTGCTTGAGCATCTAACTAGGGCGCTGCAGCTGCTCCCAGCAGCCCTCAGCCCAGGCCTGTGCACCAAGCCTGAGATACAGAACTGTAGTTTGCTTCCACAGTGAGGCCCCACTGGCCTGGTGCAAAATGCTCCCTTTAGAACCTCTGGCTTTAAAAGGTATGGTGGCTGGTGGCTGGCTGTTCCAGTAACATTTTCCTTTGTGCCTGTGTTTATTAGAAATACTGTCGCCTGTAGCTCCAAGCCCAGACCCACTAGAGGTTGCTATACATGCAGAGCTTTCTAGGGTTCTGTCTGGGGCGTTTTGTCTGCGGTCAGCAGGCCTGCTGAGTTTGGGGAAGTAGCTGGGCAATGCTGCATCAGGGACAGGGTGGCAGCATGGGGCTCCAGGTCTTGTCTTTGGGCTGTGCGACTCTTTGTTCCTGCCACGGGCCTGCAGCAGTGGCCTTGCTTTCTTGCCCCTAGCCCGGCCTGCTCTGGGAATCAGTGGAGGTGGCCCTGTGACAAAGACATCTCAGCTTTTAATAGCCAAGCTAAATATAGACCTGGGGGGGGG